TGGGGCTGCCCCACGGAGCCTGTGCCCTGTGAAGCCGGGAGCGGGCTGCTTAGTGATCGGGCCGAGTGGCGTGTAATCAGCATCTCATTTCTCCAGACACGGCCCTGTTCGCTCACAAATCAGAAAATAACATCGTCTTCTCGCTAAGAGCTCTCCTCTCTCCCCTGCAATTTAATTAATACTTGTTAAGAAGAGGTAGCTGTCAGATCAGAGCTGAGTTTTTGAATTTGCAATTGTCTCCCGATGGAGTGCCAATCGAAACCTTTTTATTTAGGTATATTGTTTTCAAGAACGGTTCGAAATGATCATTTCCAAGCTTTCCTGATTATGAAGAGAAATTTTCAGCATTTGAATAAATAGAATGGTTGATGTTATTCCATAAAAGGGGATAATAGAGAAGCCTTTTAGCAAAGAAAACAAGATTTTTTTTTTCAGTAAGAATAGCTATTATGCTCAAATTGCATTGTTCTGCTCAAAAATGTTGGTGATATGTGCCTTTAGGGTTAGGTATAGGCTCATTTTAAGTTTCTGTGATATTTATTTATTCATTTATTTTTATAATTTATTGATTTTGGAAGGGGGGGGAGAGAGAGAGAGAAGCAGTAGGTAAACATGCCTAGATTTATTACTAATATTTTACTTTTCTAAAATTATTCATTCATTCCACATATATTTATCAAATTCCCACTTAGCATAGCACTGGGATATGGAGTCAAAAGATGGACACATGAGAGAAGAGCTTTCATTCCAACAGGAAAGTACATAGACCAACAAGTAAAATAATTGCTAGTTCTAATGCATGTTAGGAAAGGAACAGTGGGTTGAGACAGACAATAGCAAAGAGAACCTGTTTTGTACAGAAATGCTGTTCTCAGAATGATTATCTGAGGAACTGGTGTTTAGCTGAAATGAAAAGAGAATTAGCCAGAGGATTTAAAACAGACGAGTGTTTTTTAGAAAACTCACCAATTATTTGTCTTCTTTGATATGTCTTAATAAAGGTTAAAAATGCTTTTTCCAAAAGGGCCTTCTACATTTTTGATAAATTTATTCCTAAGTATCTTATTCCTTTGTATTTATCATAAATTATATATTTTAAAAAATTTATTTTCTGGGTGGTTTGGGTTTTTTTTGGCCAGAGTATAGAAGTGTAATTCACTTTACCATATTTATCTTATATCTAGCAATCTTCTAAATTATTTTTAATTTTAATAATTTGTTTATAGACTCTTTGGAATTTATTATGTAGAAAATCCTATCATGGGCGCATAGTGATCATTCTCATTTACTCGGTCAATCACTATAGTTGAATTTTTTTTTGCTTCTTACTGAGCTGGCTAAAAAAATGCATTATGATGTTATTTGTGACGGGACATCCTTGTATTATTCCAAACTCCAAAGTCAATGATGCTGTCACGATTTTTTCCATTAGTAGTTATGTTTACTATAGAATATAGATGTCAGTGTTTAACCAGGTCAAGGCCGTTCTTACCGACTCCCGTGTGACAAGAGGTTGAGTCGGACGCGGCCTTGGGTGTCACTGAGTGGTTTTCTGCATCTGCTGTATAATTGCATGATTTTCCTCAATATGTACTGACTGTGGTGATTCGCGCTGAGATTCTTTCATGTGAACCAGCCTTGGGTCCCTGGGTAAGGCCAGCAAGGCCCTGGCTGGATTTGGCTCTGTTTTGGGGGGACTTTCGCGTCCGTTTCTGAGTAAGAATGACCGCGGCCGTGCGGCCCCCGCCAGCCACGCAGCTTTGTCAGTTAGACCCCGATGAAGCTGCGGGGAAAGGACTGTAGTCACCGTGGCTCACACCAGAAATGTCAGCTTCTAGATCAAGGTCACGCTGGCCTCCCAAGTTTCCACGCGCTGGGCTGATCTGGGCGAGGTGGCCGTCACTTGTCACTGTAGAAATCAGCCTCCCGTGACCCAGGCGCGGGCCCGTCCCCGCGATGCTGGGCTCGGTCACCCCTGAACCTGAGGTTAACTGCCGCCCACGTGGCCTCGCTGCTGTGCCTGTGGAGACAGTCGTGGGGGGAGGGGAGGGCTGCTTACCTGTCACCAGTTCCAGCCAATCGTCTGAGATCAGTGAGGCTGGGGGCGGGGATAGTCCGTGGAAGGGGTTCTTTGTTAGAGGCGATGGGAGCCCACCTGGGTCACGGTCTCGCAGGGACAGATCGCAGGGACTGAGGAAGCTTGATGTGTTCTCCTGGCAGCTATTTCTGCAGCAGGAGACAGTGGGAAGCTGCTCTCTCCGTCTGTAATTTTTATAAATGATACTTTGACAGAGCTGTTGGTAATCACGGCAATTAACTCCCCTAGAATTATCATGCCAAGTGTATTAATTATTTATTCAATATATAGTTTAGCAGTTAGGCAAATTTGCTTCTAACGCATATTTTCATGGCGTGCGGAGTTCAAACATCTTTACCAAAAGCGTTTACTTTCTTTGATGTAGGGACGTTGGGACACACGCCCCAGTTGCCCCATCGATGGCCCATGTAAGCTCAAATTTTAAAGTTTTGCGTGACTATCGCTCCTCCGTAAGATATTTGTGTTTATGTTAAAAACATTTTCATATGCTGTTCCCACAGTGTCTCTATCAAAACGATGCCGTGTTTGTCCCTGACACCGGCAATCCTCTAGGCCGTCGTCGCTCAGTATGAATGCAGATCCAGGAATCCCAGGTTCAGAAACTCACTCCAGTCTCATCATGAACTGGTATCAGAAGCGAGAGGACTTCTGATAAGTTAAGATGCGCTCCTGTGAGATCAATGTGTGGAAAACGGAATGAGGAAAGTGGTCCACAGAGGGGCACCGTGCCTGGCGTGGGGCGAGGCACGTAGTAAGTGCTCAACAAATAGCTGTTGAATGAACTAAGCTATTTCCTAAAAACGGATCACTAGTCTCTGATAAATAAGAAATACTGAAGGCCTAAGAGAACGTCCGGAATATTCTGGGCCTTCGGTTGCTGGACAGGGTTTTTCAGTGACTAGGAAGACTTCCCTCGAGTTCCTCCCAAGTTGGAGGGACATGTCCGTCGGCAGCCTTAGTATGCAGATGAAATGAAATAACTTCTGAGGAGTGTGTGACTCAATAGGGTTCATTGCTGTGGCCACTGTAGGTGCTGTTCCAGGGACGCACCACTGGAGAGGGAGCCTGTGTCCTTTGCCTGAGCTCCCGGTATTAATGGTTTTCATTTAGCTGTGTGGCTAATTTCTCGCTGTATGTAACTGAGGCTAAAAATTGCCCATGAGCCTTGCTGTTAAATATAAATCTTTTTTTCACTAGCCTACAAGCTTTTATTGCTTACTCCGGAATTACAGCATTTTATTGGGGGGAAAGGTTGCTCGGTGCTGGCATGTTTCCGCCAACAGAGGGCCAAGTCACCTCGGGTGCCTGTGAAAGAATTACCCAGCTTTAATCCTTCCGAGCATTTCCGTGCTGTTTGCAGCGGAGAACAGGAGCCGAGTTTCCTCCTTGGAGAGTCGCTGGCACCTGCCGGGTGGCGGGAGGGGCTCCGCTGGCCCGCAGGTTTCTGAGGCACCTCACGCGCCCGCGTAGGTTCACTTGTGTTGACGGTCTGCGTTCAGAGGCTGGACGGTGCCACCTGAAAGCGTCGTTCCTGTGGCAGAGAACTTGCTGGAATTGAAGTCAACCAAGGGAAAGGACAGCCAATAATAACGTGCTTTTCTAAATTGTTAGGAAAGATATAGTCCGGATCATTCTTAATTCGAATTAGGTGTTTTGTGCTTATTACCAATGAGCAGGGTAGGGAACGTCCGGCCCATGGGCCGTATAAGGCCCCAGAAATCATTTGGTCTGGGCCCTGTTAAGGTGACTGCAGGCAGGACTCGAAATTCAATAAACCTAGGAGCTTTTCTCATAGCTAAATTTTTAAAAAAATATATCTTTATTGATTTCAGAGAGAGGAAAGGAGAGAGAGAGAGAGAGAGAAACATCAGTGATGAGAGAGTCATTGATCGGCTGCCTCCTGCACGCCCCCGACTGGGGATCGAGCCCGCAACCCGGGCATGTGCCCCGACCGGGAACTGAACCCTGATCACCTGGATCCTAGGTCGACGCTCAACCGCTGAGCCACGCCCGGCCGGGCTCATAGCTAATTTTTAAGTTGATCATTTTGTGTGGCCCTCGAATGATACTATAAATATTCAAATGGCCCTCGGCAGACAAAAGGTTCCCCACCCCTGGATTAGAGTTTCCTAGAATTGAAATCATGGGGAGCTGATTCCGTGAGGGGGAAATACCTAATACTTCTCCTTCTCCTACTAAGATAATGATGAAATAGGCAAAGCTAGAAAAAAATACTCAGATAGAACCACAGAACTGTCAAGAACTGATGATACGAACCTGAAGCGGATGCACCCCTCCCACCTGGCGGGGGGTCTGGGAGCCCAGACCCCGGGGGGAGTGGCTGGCTCATCTCAGAGACAGCACTGGAGGGGGTGGGGGTCGGCTTCCCTTTATCAGCTGCTGATGATGTTCTATAAATAGTGAAACTGAAGCCCAGGGTGGCGAGACTGAGCCAGGGCCCAGTGCTCAGTGGTGGCCGGTGTCACACCTCCGCTCACCCATGGGGTGCTCTTCCGACTTCAGCTTGTCCTTGCGCTAAGTCTGGTGACTTTTCAAAACAGAATAATCCTTAAGCTGCTTTGGCATAACGTCCGCTTAGACGCGATGCCTCCTCAGCCGATCTCTCTGTGCCCGATCCAGCTGGCGGGAGAGGTCGGGAGGCTGGAGGACAGGGTGGCATGTGCCAACAACGCGCTCAAGGCCGACTGGGAGCGGTGGAAGCTGAACATGCGCAACGACCTCAAGTCGGCGTTTTCGGACACGGCCGAGCGGAACATCCACTATTACGAGCAGGTGAGGATGGCCCTTGGCGTCGCCTCGTTTCAAAGGTCCCTTTCCCGTCCACCCGGCCTGTGTTGGGAGCGCGTTAAGAAGCAAGCGCTGCGCCTGGAGCCTCTCCGCGGCTTGGGGCCGGGGCCCTGCCCGTTTGACCCGAAACCCACCCGCTGAGACGCGTGTGGGTGACAAGGGAGGAGGGCGGGTCCCCTTTTTCCTCTACACGCACGAGCCCCCGGTGCCCCTGGGACACATGAAATTGCCGGGGCCGTTGGTTTTCTTCATTAAAACTGCAGGAGGCCCCCGGCCCCAGGTATCTGCTTTGCTGGGTGTTTCCTGAGTAACTTCTAGGTGACTGGCAGGTGGCCCAGGCTCCCTACTCAGCGCGCACCGTGCTGGGCGCCTGCACCAGCCTCAGCCCGCTGGGACCTGTTACCCTCGGAGTATCTCAGATACACAGGCAGGCGGAGTGTTCCGGAACCTTTCCGTCCCCTTTGTAAGGTTAACCACATTCTTATGGAAATGTTTATTTTCTCATCAACATTTGCAAAGATAAATCCCCAGAGGGGTTTGTTTCCAGTGTGATGGATGAAATACAGTATAAACATTTGCCTCTGGACTTACTTTTATGAAGAGAAACGGTCGCAGCTGGTTTATAAAGTAAAATTTAAATATTAAAGTGATCGAGGAAAATCAGATTACTACTATAAGGCAGAGGCCTGTACCAGAAGCCAGTTATTGTCACACAAATGTGCTTAGGATGTGGGAATTTACCTGGAGACCGTTGGCGCCAAATACAGAATAAGCATTTTATAAAACGAGGCCATTCCCATTTTGTCCTGTAGGGTCAGTAATTAAGAATAAATTTATTGAGTCTGTTTTGAAAATGCGAATGGCAAAAAAATAAACCCCAAATCCAACTGCACACGAGTAAATCATGTCAGAGTCTCGTTGGTACCCAAATAACTCACCAAAGACAGTGATTTCCAGCTGTCCCCTGACGGGATGCTCGACCGCAGAGCCCGGCGCTGGGTGACAGGCACGAGCGCCCCGACTGCTCCCAGCAGGCACCAAAGAGCATCCGCGTTTGTTGCGGACGCTGATGGCAGCGATGCTGATGACGACGGCGGTGAGAAGATTTGAAAGGACGCGATCCTTACTGTGTTTTACAAATTGAAGGGACGTGCTCTTTGAAAGCTTAATTTTGATGTCGTAGCACGGAAAGAGCACATAATGTCGATTTTTGACAAACACAGCAGTTTGTTGGTAGGTGAACATAATACTTAAAGTAACACTATCCCTTTGCACAGCTTATNATAGGTGAACATAATACTTAACACTATTTATCCCTTTGCACAGCTTATTTAGTCAGCGGACGGAGGTCCTTGTTTCATAGCCTTATTTTTCTTATAAAANGTAGGTGAACATAATACTTAAAGTAACACTATCCCTTTGCACAGCTTATTTTAGAATTAGTAGTCAGCGGACGGAGGTCCTTGTTTCATAGCCTTATTTTTCTTATAAAATTAATACCTGGGCACTAAGAACAAACAGGAACAGCAACAGCAGAGCTAAGTACTCCGACAAGTAAAGGAGAGAGAAAGAGTGCCCGTAACCGTCTCCTGGCGTGGCGCAGTTAAACACCGCTATAGAAAAACAACTTGCTGGGTTCAGACCAAAATATTGCTAATTGTCTGCATGACCCTTCCTGAGTGTGTCCACATAACAGCATGGGGTTGCGCCTGGCTGCTGTGGCTCAGTGGGTGGAGCGTTGCCCCTGCGCCAGGAGGTCACTGGTCCCGTTCGGGTCAGGACACAGGCCCGAGTGTGGGCCGGATCCCCCGTAGGCGCGTGCAGGAGGCAGCCGACCGACGTTTCTATCTCCCTCTCCCTCCCCCCTCTCTAAAATCATTAAAACATATTAAAACAAAAAACATTGGTTGCATAACCAGGTCAGAGGCCCCGTCATGTCGGATGCTATTAGTTGCCTCATGTAAAATTACTCATTTAAACAGAGGCGTCGATAACTCCTCCTGCTACCTCACCTCCCGTCCGCACACAGTCCTCACGACTCCTTAGGAAAATAAAATTAGAAACCATGTGAAATGCTTTCAAATAAAGCACTTAACCGCCACAGCTGCGCCCCGGTAATGGTCCGCGAATACAGAGGTAAGCGTGGTCTTCGGTTCAGTTTCCTGGGTTTTGGTTAAACAAGCCCAGGAACGCTGGATGTTTCAGGTGTCCAGTCGGATGAAACTGGACACGCTTCACGTAACTGGCTTGTTATTAGCCAAAAATGATGATGGTAAGATAGAGAAAAAGTTCGTGTGGGCAAGATACGCACTCACATTTTGGCTCTTGGATTCATTCTTCCTATAAGGACTTTCAGTGTATTAGACCTGAAGGAGCCCCAGTTTTCCCAGGTGTGGAAATAAGTGGAATGACGGGTACCCGGGCTCCCTCTCTCTAGCAGATCTTGAGGTAGGAATCGAGACTCAGTACAAAAAAATACGGAGAGGACCACACGGTGGCGTCTGTAGCTAATGAGTCCCTGCGGGTTCTCTCCTGCAGTCGGGCATTTGCAGTATTTACAAATGCACGCTTATTACTTATATTGTTGAGAGAGAGATAAGTAATTTTTAGGGGAAAAAATATGCAAACCCTAACGTTATTTTTAAGTTATTGATATTTCTCAAATTATAAGTTGGCAGATGATTCTTAGAAGCCGAGTTTAGACTTCCCCAAAAACGAAATTTATGAATGATTTTGAGCTGTTGCAAAATGATAGGAGTTGCTTTCCTCTAGCACCACCATCTCTAATTTCTTTCTAGATTGATGACTCTTCATAATTTTAAAATATGCAGCTCCTGAAAGGTTCCATTACTGATTAGAATCTCAGGTTTAGGTGGTAAAAAGCAATTATTACAACGTCGCACAGCTCATTGCCCCCATTTCAGGCACGGTCTACAATTTTTATAGCGTAATTTATTTTGCAACGATATTGGCTTCATGTAGAGATGTTTACATAGTTGAGCTTCAATATTTTTTCAAATATAAGTGATGTCACCTGGGCCAACTAATTGTAATGATTTCAAAGTGGGGGAAAATCAATTCCTTGATGGCGTTTTTTCTTCCCCTTAAAAAATGTTGCTGTACTGTCCCCTCGCTTCCAGTATGTTGGATGAGAAACACTGTCCTCGTTGTCTATATAACACACAAGCTCTTAAAATTGTTGTGGCAAAACTTCACGCAGGTGCCGAGACTAGGTGAGCAGGGGGACCCGTGGGTGAAGTCATGGCGGAGACCACGTTAATGTCTGTGCATCTCCAGCTTCTCCAGTCCCTTCGGAGCCTCCCTCGCTTCCTGTGGCACGTCAGCGGCCAACTCTTGCCACCTCATCCCAGCAGACCATCACTGCATCACAATCGCTAATTTTTTTAAAATCTTTATTGATGTCAGAGAGAGGAAGGGAGAGGGAGAGAGAGAGAAAAACATCCATGATGAGAGTCGTTGATCGGCTGCCTCCTGCAGGCCTCTGACTGGGGACCGAGCCCGCAGCCCGGGCGTGTGCCCTGACCGGGAATCGAACCGCGACCTCCTGGATCCTAGGCCGACGCTCAACCGCTGAGCCACGCCCTGCTGGGCGCAATTGCTAATTTTCTGAGCACTTGCTTTGTGCCGGGCATCCTGCCCAGAGCTGGATACAGGTTACGTAAATTGAATGTTCACAGTTGCTCTAGTGGTGAGGGAGCTCGGCCATGAACCCGATTTATAGATGAGGAAACTCACGGCGATCATGGCCTTGTGCAGACCCCTGCTGTCGTGGGACTCGGGTCTGATGAAGGCCTGGTCGGGCCCCACCCCTCCGCCCAGACGCCTCCCACCTGCCTCCCCAGGTCCGAGCAGGCCACCTTTCCCTGTGTAACTCAGCCGGGGGGTAGTGGTGGTCCTTTCCGCAAACTGATCCATGCTAATCCTTTAACTGCCCCGTGCTTTCCCCTCACTGAGCCATAGTTTCCCTCTTCGGGAGGTAAAACCTGTAGAGCGTGACGAGGGCCCGCAGGCCGGCGGGAGAGGGAGCAGGGCCCACGGCCGCCGACAGGGAGGTGAGGCCCGCGCCCTGAGCGCTGCCCCCGAGGCCTGCTCACCGGCGTTTCCCTTACTCAGTGCCTTGCGACCTGGGAGTCCTTCCTCACGTCACACACCGACCTCTACGTCAAAGAGCCCCCCGGAGACAAGCCTTAACCCCGCGGAAGGCTTCCCCCGCGTGACCTTCGGGAACAGCATCGATGAGCCAAAGTTATTCCTTCGGGATGGGGCGTATCCTTTACAATGCAGAGGAAAGATGTTTCCCACGATCTGGAAAACCAGCAGGGTGGAACCCGGGCTTTCCAGATCGCTGTCGTAAATGGGGATATACGTGTATAGCTTAGTTCTAACTATGTTCTTAAATTCATATGCCAATAATGAGATATAGAAAAATGTTTTTCTTAAATATTTGTCTGTGCAACATGTCATTTTAAGTATATCGTAAAGACTCCATTTTAATAAAAAATTTAATATGAAGTGAGTGGCCGTGGTGTGTTCTTTTTCTGCCAGAGCTTAAGCCTCTGAAGCAGATTCTATATGAATTCAGCACATTAACAAGCCTACTGTGCGTTCACCTTTATTTCATCACAGCTGCCTCTGAGATACCATTCACTTCCATATCAGGGATTTGAGTAAATATTAAAAATGATTTAATATGATTAAACATTAATGATAACAAGCTAAGTAATTGTTTTCCACTGTTTTAAAACAGGTGCCATTGTTTGGCGATATCACATTTTGTTTACCCATCGTATTTGTTTATCTTTTCACCGCTCGACCTCTGGGTTGTCAACTTTGGCTCCTACGAATAACGCTGCTATAAAAGTTGGTGTATAAGTTTTTGTGTGAACATGTTTTTATTTCTCCTGGGCCTGAACCTAGGAATGAAATCGTGGGGTCAGGTCACAACTATATTAAGTCATTTACGGAGCCATCGGACTGTTTCCAAGGGGGCTGCACCATTTCACGTTCCTGCCAGCTGTGCAAGAGGAACCCCCTCTCCACCCCACTAACACTGGTTATTTCCTGAGTGTTTTTTTCCTTTTATTATAGCCGTCCTAGTGGATGAAGCGGTATCTCATTTTTTTCATTGATTTTATTGTAGGGAGAGAAACATCGATTCATTGCTCTGCTCATCCATGCACTCATCAGTTGATCCTTGTGTGTGCCCTGTCTGGGGCTCGAACTGGCAACCTTGGTGTATCTGGGCATCGCTCTAACCAACTGAGCTACCCAGCCAGGGCTCGTTGTTTTGATTGGCACTTCCTGTTGCATCTTTTCATGGGCTTACTGGCCAATTTGTATATTCTTCAGAGAAGTGTCAGATCCTTTGTCCATTTTTAAAGTTAGGTTGTCTTTTTATTATCGAGTTGTAAGAGTTATTTATACACCCTAGATCCAAATCCCTTATCAGATTATGATTTGAAAATATTTCTTTTCACCTTCTTAAGAATGTACTTTGCAACATAGAGGATTTTAATTGCGATGAAGCTCCATGTGTCTGTATTTATTTTCTCTCGTTTGCTTGTGCTTTCGGTGTGTCTGAGAATCCACTGTGGAGTTTGAGGTCATACAGATTTACTCCTGTGCTTGCTTCTGAGGGTTCTCACTTTTAGATTTAGGACTCTGACCCACACTGAGTTAATTACTGTGTATGATGTGAAGGAAGGTGCAGTTCCACCCTTTTACATGAGGACAACCACGTGTCCCGCCACCACTTGCTGGAGAGACTGTCTTATCATTTCGCCCTATCAGTTCCCCAATGGGTCCCTGAGTTCTGGCTAAAAAAGAATTCAGAGTCAAGACTCACATACAAGCAAAAGTTTATTTAGAAAGTCACAGAGGTAGGAGAAGTGAGCCAGCTGGGCTGCTTGGGCTCAGGAAACTACAGAGGCAAAGAAGGGCCCTTGTAGCTTAGGAGAAAGAAAGGCAAAGAAAATGCACCTGGGGGGAGAAGAGGAGCACACCTGGGTCCTTCTTCTTAAGGACTTTTATCTGGAGGTCGAAGGGGAGGATCCCAATAGAATATTCGTCAGCTTTCCAGGGGCATCTTTTCAGGGTTGTGGTCTCCACTGATTGGTCGATACGGGGTGGGGGGGGAGGTCATTAGTCATTGCAGCTGGTTCTCACTCAGCCAGAGCCTTGCTGCTTTTCTGGGCCTGGAGCTGAAACACAACTGAAGCCTAGACGTTATCCTAGTTTGACCAAAACTCTGTCTCTATGGTCGACAGACCTGAAGCTTTGTTCCTAAGATTATTTGATGTGGGCCAGAACCTCATTGCCCCCAGGGCTAAATGCCTAAGGGATTTAGAAAGTCACAGAGGGTGCAAGGGAGTCTATGAGGCTATTCTCCGGCCCCCTTGTTCCTCCTCTGAGGGGGTTTAAAACCACATCGCTACCGACATGCCAGGGGGGAAAGGTCAGGGGAGGGTCCAAATTGCTTGACCAGCGACGTGCTAGGGGAGGAGAGGTCACCCCGGGGCTGAGGTCCCACCTGACAACTGTCTGTTGCTAGGCACCCTTGGGGTGCCTGGCGTATCCTTCCCACTCTGCTCCTCTCTGCCTGTCCACTGTATCACTTGAAGTTGCTGATGGGGGTTCTTGCACTGGCTGTGATGTGTGCTGGGACGGTTAGTAATATGGGATGTGATTACTGGATACCTCAGCATAAAAAGCTTTGTAACAACAGAATAGCACACTTGACTTTTATTTCAAAGAAAGACCTGCCCTAAAGTTTGCGTGTAACTTCCATTCAACACACGCCTCAATACCTGCTTCCCAGAGCACTGGTTTCCTTCTGTCCAGTTACCTTTCCCCCAGGAAAATTCCCTCATGTCCATCTTTTCAACCACCAGCTGTAGGTGACGGCCCAGCTTCAGAGAGAAATGAACGTTGTCTGGAAACAGATTCTTTCTGACAACCCAGTTCTGACATCAAGCTTATAAACACAGAAGTAGTGCTCCTGTGTGTTTAATAATGGCTTTGGATAAACTCTCGGAGTCATTAGAGGTAAAACTGAATTCTGAGCATACTGTAAAAAAAAAAAAAAAGCATTTTAAGTATTTAAAATTCTGAGCTGGTGCGTGAAGTATCCAGGCCCCAATTTCCCGTCTGTGGAAGGGGGAATCAGCGTGCCAGCTCCACAGTGCTGGACGTATGAGAATAAATTATGCACAGCTGACTTTGGCTACTTACTTTGACCAAAAATAAAGTGTTAGATCTACATCAGTTTTCCCTTATTCCCCCGACCCCCCC